TGTCTTATTCTGATCTATAAGCTATATTATTGTAAAGTTTAATTAAAATCCATTCAGTAGTATTTGCGTGAAAGAGTAACAAACATTCATCCATACATACAAACTTTCGCCTATATAATATTAGTAAGGATTCAGTGTATGCTGAAAATTATTTACAGTTTTCCACCACAGCCCTAACCACCAGCAACCAAAATAATCGTTGCTAACCCATGTACAGCCATTTACTGCCCATATACAGTTGAGTTTTTAACTCTTCAACGAGATTTTTATTCAAAATTTCGATCTTTGAATGTCTCGTAATCGAATAAATTGCAACGTTAAAAACATTGACTGTGCGAAGTTTTCACTTTTGTTTCCAGACTACTAGCACTTGGAACAATGTATAAGATATTCTGTAATGGTTAACAAATAACTTTTATTTTTAATAATTTCCTGATTTTTAATCTGTACAGAAGCATGATCATTTCCAAATGACGTATTTTTATTTCTTCATAAATGGGTAACTCGTCGATAACGAGTGTTACCCAGCTTCGTTTTAATATAATATAAATTGTAACGGTGTACAGCGCAACGTGTAACGCCGTTCGAGGGTTTATTTAGAGCATTTTGCGGGAAGACACGGGAAATGAGATTCCCCTCCCCCTCGTACGTCTCCCCGCCTTGAGGGTGTCAACTTGCAATATTTACGCCCGCGAATTTTTCTCGCGCACACCGTCCGAAAGCACACCTGAATTACTTTTAACGTTTTCGTTATCGTTATTATGGGACACATATGAATAATACACGTAAATGTGACAAAGAGAATTTATTAAATTCGAACACTTACGCCTGGTTTCTGAAACACGGATGATGGTAGAAGTCAACTAATCAGCTGTCAATTAGCTTTTCAAATGCTATTTGAGTTGCCATAAGGATTGTTAAACTCTTTGAATTGATCAGAATGATCTTCTTAATGATCAGAATGATCAATTCAAAGAGTTTAATAATTCTTATGGCCACTCAAATCGCGTTTGAAAAGCCAATTGACAGCTGATTAGTTGACTTCTTCGATGATCAGTGTTTCAGAAACCGGGCGTTACAATCTGTCCACGCACTTGGATTGGGCCTTAGGGAAGAAAGTAACTGACGCACAAACTTTTTGGTCTAGTAAAAATAATGTTAACACATGTATGTATTGTGTCAGCGATTAATCTGGAATCCATAAATAATTTAAATATGTTCCTCTGAATTCATTCTCCAGTTATCCTTCTTATCATTTTTCTCCGTTTTGTTCTCGATCTTTCATTTCCATGCACGTGCTTCGTGAACTCCACCGCGAAACTATTGTTTACTGTTTTCGTTCACGCACTTGTGTCTGCTCTACACGTTTTATTGATCAACGCATAAGCTAGGGCCGTCGAAATGTTTTTTATGCGACAACAATTGGCGTTTTTCACGTAAGACACACAGGGAATAGGACAGGAGCGGTTTTTATTTGTTTCTTGCCCTGTTTAGTGCACGACGGCGTCCTTTATTTATGTTTCTTGCTCTATTTAGTTCACGGTTATACTACAAATTGTTATATTCAAATGTCTTTTTATGATTTTTTTTGTATTCATAAACTTTATTATATAAGAACCGACCAAGTGCGAGTCAGACTTGCGCAAAAGGGAACCATTATCTATAGAAACGGCAAAGATATCACGTCTGTTGTATGGGAGCCCCACTTAAATATTTTTTTTATTCAGTTTTTTGGTGTTTGTTGTTATAGCAGCAACAGAAGTACAAAATCTGTGAAAATTTCAACTTATGAAATACAGCCCGGTGACACGAACACACAGACAGCGGAGTCTTAGTAGTAGGGTCCATTTACCCTTTGGGTACGGAACCCCAAAAAGACAGTGGTGTCGTAGTAGCTGGCCTGCGGAAATTTGGTATACAGGTCCTTTTTTTGGACCTCTTATGTGAATTATTAAGTTAACTAACGCTTACTTTTAACTGGGTTTGTAAGACGCGAGAGCTTTTCATGTAAATATTTTATAATAAAATATTCTTTTCGGCTTTGTAGTATTTTAACGTACCCCGAGCGGAATTAAATTAAACCCACGAGCCGAAGCAAACCGCAACTGTAGGCCGCGTGATGGATTACATATAAGAGGATGGAAAGATGGCGAATGAATCAACGAGATTAACAAATGCAATTAGAACTTTCTACTTTAAAACAGTACAAGTTCTTTTGGGCTAATTTTACTGCTTAAATAATTAATAAATAGTTTGTAATTTTTCGAATATCAATTGGTAATACGTATATCATCACAACATAGTATAAAACTAAATCGCCACCTGTCTGTCTGTCCCTATGTATGCTTAGATCTATAAAATTACGCAACCGATCTGGATGAGGTTTTGTTTATTAGATAGTGTGATTCAAGAGGAAGGTTTATATGTATAATACATTGCACCCGTGCGAACTCGGGGGCGCTAGGGAGCAATATATAATAGCTGAATAAATTTAACAATCATATTTAATTGTATAATAACGCACACATCACACATTACTGGCAATACTATTCATCTGTCTATATCCCTTCCCTTCCGCTTTTTCATAAAAACAAGAAGAAACGAAAGAAATATTGATCTCTCTCTTCTATTAAAAAACCTAATTCGCCAACGATCTGTAGTGTAGACTTTGTCTGTGAAAAATCCTACTCAAAAATTAATAGTAAAGTGTTGTGGGAAAGACAATGAAGGAGAACTCCAAGTTCCAGCTTTTAGTTACCTAAATTTTCCTAGAACCTTTTTTGGTTTGAAATAAGTCTATAATATGAGCAAAAAATATTTATTAACAACGATCTTAGCAGTTTTAATTACTTTATTAATAATTATCTGGCATTCATTATCTGGGTCATCGTGAATTTATTATACCGACTTTATCTCACACTGTTGACATACGTGTGCTGATAAAAACAGATGACAGTGGAATGTCATCTGTTATTTTTTACATAAGAATTTTATTGTATGTATACTTTTAAAGTAACGTTCTTAATAAATTAGCGTATTGTGGTTACCTTTTGTGATACTGTAATTTATTACGCTTGAGTCCAGTTTGGAAAAGGTTGGTTTGGTGACTTTTTGAGAGAAATTGTTTTTCATCTTAAAACAGCTCCAGATTTTTTTTGAAATGTATCTTTTCATGAATTTAACTGGGCTCTAGCTACATTATCAATTCGTTTTGCTTTTTGCTGCAGGAGAATTTCTAGTAGCCTTCCTTGCTTCCGCGCATAGCTTAAATAATCTATGTATGTCGAGAAGGCAACCATTTCTTGGCTGTCTATATGCTACAACAAAATTTTCCACTAAAAGTTAACCAACAACACAGTGGCCGTGCACAACATAAACAGCGGGATGTTCTTTTGGTACAGAGACTACAAAAACTATGTTTCAACATTCAGACAGTAATTTAGAGCCTGCCCGTTTTCTATGCGTCTCATCTAAAGAATCTTAGCCACCATTAAGTAACTGGGGCACATTACTTAACGATGAAAGCTTATTAATTAGAATTGATAATGTAGATCAGTACGATCTCCACGGCCTTTCTTCTCAAAAAGTGCCATTTTTTCCGCCTTTTTATAGACGTCATCAGTAGGACTCTTGTCCTTTTTGGGTATCGACTTATTTTACAGCCCTATGGCATTTTCCGCGACGATGTAAGAAACCTGAAGGTTTGACTTTGGACTTTGATCCCTTGGGAGATGGCAAAGCCCTTGTCTGGGAGTCCCTCCACAATTAGCTTGGGTAGGGCTTTGGTTGCCTCTCATCATGAAGAGTACTTTGGTCAGGGCCGGGGTGGCATTAGAGGCAGCTGAAATAAGGAGATGGTGCAAATATGATTTATTTTGTCCAGATTGTGCCATTTGCTGTTGACACTTTCCATGACCATGGGGTCAACGCACACCGAACTTTTTGAAAGGACATCCTAGACTTCAACGCGGCTGGTGGCAAGAAGGCTGGTATTTTTCTCGCTCAAAGGTTAAGCATAACTATTCAGCGAGAAAATGCAGCTAGCGTTTTTGGCGCCATGCCGCATTGACTGGGTTTATGAGATAACTTTTAATTTACTTAGTTTAAATATTCTAAATATTTTTTCCGTTTATTAATGCGCATTACTTTTGCATAACTATTTCCACTGTATGGTTCATTCAAAATCATGCGGCACTAGTCGCAAAAGAGTGTAACAGCTCACGCTGTTTTCTCGTTATGTGTCCCCTAGGATTCATTGAGCAGTTTTCATGGCTGGTCGAAAAAAAGTTCCAACGATGATGTCATTTATTTTTGCTAACGTTAATAAAGAAGTAGAATGCCTTTCTTATCAAATGGGAACATTTAAATCTCTCAGAATGTAACGAAACAATTTTATTCTTAAGATTCGTTGAAAATTTCCGCAAAGAATGTGTGCAAGATTTATGTATCGTACTTGAAGTATTAGTGTACCTACAGTGTTGGAGGTTATTTTCTGAAGGTACTTATTATTCATGAGGTATAGCGCAATCTTTTGAACCCTCGAAAGCCTTTAACGCTTGAAAATAACGTTTTCATTAAAACAAAAGTAATAATCTGCGATTAAAACTAATGCATTTTCGAGTAAAATCTGTTTTTGTACGATTTTTTTATATACTCAAAGTCAAAACCGCCTAGTAACAGAATACTTAATATCCATGGTATGTCTTGTCTTATTTCTCTTAAGAAGGTCTTTGTTGGTGATAGGTTTTCTTTCTTCATGTACTATATAATACCTATTATTTTTTTGTATATTTTCGCGTCTATACATGAATGTTCACGAAGGAACAGATGATCGCCATCGAGCATTGTCAAGATCAGAGGCAATAGAACATTGTATCTTCGGGGTTAAGTTTACTAACTGAATACGTACAGAAATGACATGCCAAAATCAAAAAAATCGCTTATGTGTTATTCTTAAATCAGCCTAGTTTATATGGAACGGGATGGGACACCTGTGCCATATGCGTAGTGCCAACAGACCCGAAGATCTAGTGGCCTGGAAGAAGGTAAGAGGGTAAGAGCGGTCTTTGCCCAGCTATGGGAGACGTTAGACTAATAATAGTAATATATGTTATGTCTTCTTAGTATTCATAGTTACTATTAAACCGGCTACGATCATTTTGAATATTATTATTTGTAATTTCCGACAGATACTATCAGGAAGGTCACTTTTTTTCTAGAAAGTTCAAGGGACATACACGTTGTTTGCTAGCTCGCGAGATCACAGCGTACTAAACTTCTTCCGTTTCGGAGATTGGACTTTTTTACGATAGGTTTGCGGCCGATGAATCCAGATAGAGCATAGATGTGGCGTTCTTGAATATTCCTTTATACGTAGCTGGATGCCTAAACATTTGCAAAACAAAATTCATATTCACAGTTTTGTGTTAGTGATATTTGTTTCGATAAAAATTCATTCAGCACACGCATCAGTGATACAAACACGATGTTGCAGATCTTCTTTATGTGAGCTTAATAAAGTGGGCTCCGGTTACGTCACTCACTGGACGAAACGCGGAAATATAATACTTACACTTCACGCCGGTCTTCTGTAAGGTGGTACTTCCCTGGACGGACCTGCCCATTCGTGTTGAATTCACTGAAATAATCACAACGGAGAACATAACCGAAGTGGTGCGTTTATTAATACGCGTCGCAAACGAAGCCATAAATAACATCATAGCTGCCACAACAACTAGTCTTGCAACCTGGAGCGCGATAAGTCGCACACTAACCTCACTACTAGCCGGGCATCTCGACGGACAATGAGGCTACACCGTTTAGCGTTTACAAACAAACGTTTACAGTGTTGCGCCTATCACCGGGGAGCTTTAATGGCCCCCGAGAAGAAGCACGGGTCATGAGGATCAAGCCGCGACACCCGCACCTGCAAGGCCCCACAAAGGCCATTGTAGAAGACCCCGACGACGACGACGACGACGTTGAATTCACAACGTTTTGAACACTTGCGTGGCCTTAACTTAGATCGCGCGACTACGCAGCAACTTGGACAAACAATCTTAATATTATCTAGCTGTCTTTGCTCAATTACGTGACTTTTAAAGTAAACGTCCATTAAGTAAATGTTGGCTTAATCGGAATATTTTTCCAGCATTAACGCGATAGCCTTTGCCTTGCGAGGATGTAGCCTCGATATCAAATTAAACTTGACCTCAAGACGATAATATTGTGGGTCGCTGATTGTTTACGTATTCTGCGTATTCTTCGCATTGAAAACGGAGATAGGACTCGGTATCGATGTTTTCCTTAAATAAATCTCAGCGCGGAATTACCTTACGATAAAATTTATTATCAACATATTTTTAGTTTCGTTTTAAAACGTACGATTACGCCAAATGTTATAAAGTATGAAATTGAAGAATCACTGTGATGTTTGTGTTTATTATCATATTAAGTATTCAAAATTCATCTGTTTTGATTTGGCATCACAACTGACGTATGACTACTCCATCTAATATCATATCCTTCACTATTGTTTAGCTTTCAATGTAAAGTTGTGTTTTACTCTTTTTGTCTAGCATTATTGGTATGCTTTGATTTCTTTGTTTAATTATTTATGGATTTAAATTTAATAGATTTGACTATGAAAATAAAATAGTCGTAAAGCCGCTTCTGTTTTCGACTTCGATAAATATCGTTTGTTTAATATAAAAGCTAAGACCTTAATGTTAAGTAAGTGTTGATGATTCCGTGTCGCAGTTGTAAAGATATTGGCTTCGGTGCCGAGGGTTTTGGATCGATTACCACAAAGGAAAAACATTTGTGTGATCCACAGACGATAATTTCGGATTATGGTGATTTTTTCGCGTGAAATTTATGTTTGTAAAACGTCCAGGGTAATTTTATCCCACAGTAAGGGCAATGATTTAAAAAAAAAGAACTATAATTATCTAATAAAGTATTCAATAAGTATTATTGTATTGAATTGAATAAGTAGTATTGTATTGAATAAGTAGTATTGAATTCATTATAAGATACGTAACAATAACACGAATAGATCACTCATGTTCTTCAAATAGGGAATAGGTCTTCAAGAAGTCTTTAGAACTCGTCTCCCATAAGCTAGTAGGCTTAGCAGTAAGATCTATTTCGTTCCGAAGCGGGTGACTAGATAAGGTCGGCATTAGCTTGTGAGTTCCTCCATTTCAGCGCAAGCTCTTCTAAGGAATATATCTGGAATTATATGTCCCGACTTTAGGGTATGAGAATGGAAAAGGTCTGTTTCCCACACACGCATAAATGTTTCGTTCTATTTACGATATATATTAAGCTTATGTCAGTGGGATAATATTAGTAGCCACAAAATTTCTGGTTTTATTCAAAGTTCTTTTTTTCGTTGCATTATAATATTTTATTTTAACATTCCTCCAACAATATTAAGTATTTAAAGAATATAATCCATATAAAAACTTGTTTTGGTGACTATATATCGTAGGACATTTCCTAGAACGACATACATGTATTAGAAGATATTGTACGAGTAAAAGTGCAACTTGGTACCCTAATAATTTACAGTTTATTTTCTTTACTCAACGTCAAGACTAATAACCATTTTTTACTAACGAAAAACAAAACCGACTTCAAATATCTCGCTTTGTATTCATTTTATAATTGATTTTGAGAGTTCCCTAAGTATCTCCGGAGGCCAAGATCCAATACCAAAGAAATTAGCCACATGGGAACCGCCAGCTTTCAAATAAAACAATTATCATCAAAATCGTTTTTTTTTTATGTGAAAGTTGATGCAGATGCGTTGACAACCTTTTGAAAATTGGGCTCCGGCTACCTCACTTACCAGACGAAACGCGAAAGTATTATACTTCCACTTTACGCCGATCTTCCGTGAGGTCGCGGTACTTACCCGGACGAGCCTGCCCATTCGTGCAACAGCCGAGGCTGCTGCGAGGCTTTACCGCCGTTTATTTATATATATCGGTGGTATATTATATCGGTTCCCTCAGTCGAAAGTTCTGAGGTAACAAACAAAAAAAAATACAGTCAAACAAATAGAAAACCTCCTCCTTGTGAAGCCGGTTAATCCTTACTAATATTATAAAGGCGAAAGTTTGTATGTATGGATGGATGTTTGTTACTCTTTCACGCAAATACTACTGAATGGTTTTTAATGAAACTTTACAATAATATAGCTTATACATCAGAATAAGACATGTATATAATATGCCATAATTTATATACATATTTTTAGTCTTTCCGTCTTAATGTTACATCTTCAGCCTATTCTACGCAGACGTAGTCGCGGGCAGCAGCTAGTAATCCATAAAAAAACTAACAGGTGTCAAAAATTGTTTTATTAAAAAAAGATTATCTTTTTTTTGGTGACTACATGTCGTAGGACATTTACTAGAAGGACATAGTATTAGAAGTGCGAGTGCAATTTGGTAGCTCAATAATTTACTGTTCATTTTCTTTACTCAATTTCAAAGCTAAAAGCGGTAAACTGGACTCATCAACTGGCATTTAGTCGACAAACGTAACACACGACACGGACACGATCTCAGCCGAGGGATATTCCGCGTGGGGGCGTCCCCGCGAACCGTTGAAGCGCTCTCCGTCTCGAGACCGTACAGATATAGCCTTTGTGCCCCACTCGTCGCGACTTCTGTTGCGCTCATCCAATATGTAGTGGTGCACACGAGTGGCGCACTCGACGGCGCCCGCCCCACAAGATGGCCGCACTCGGCAGAGGGACCAGTCTCGAGGGATAGCGACGTCAACACGGCGTGGGCTGGGACGTTGTGAGGAAACAAAAGAATGTGCTCTTCGAGGCCGCCTTTGCTGTTTTGTGTTGTGCAACATATGGAAAGACGTACCCAGCTCTCTGATAGTGGCGTGTGATCACTCCGTTTTAACACTGATCGACTACGTCTTGATTACAATCGCACCTGAGTTACTCTCAGGTTACTGTGTGTAAATATTTGTTATATATATTTAAGTGTTTTAATGTCACTACATCACTAGATCGGTTCAATAAAATTATTAAATTACTTAACAAGTAACTTTAGAATTTAAGTTTTGTAGATAAATGAAAAAAAAAAGTTGTTTCGTCCGGTTATCTTTCATTCAAACAAATTGTCAATAGGTGACGTAATAATTATTAAAAATAATGATTTTCTACTGGTGTAATTAACGTCATTAGTGGCAAATATAAGCTTTAAAATGGTGGTTGAATCATTAAATTTGATGAATTATGGAAGTTGTAGAGTACGGGCAAAAACACCTTGGGAAATAATATATAGGGATTCTTCAAACAAGTAATAACAAGAAGACAAAATAAATAAAAAAAATGTAACAATATAATCTGTGCTGGCAACCGTCCAAAATGCGATAATCGGCCAGGGTATAAAAAAGATAGATATAATGCAGGCTACCAAGTCATTACATGGCATAATAAGATATGTATCTAGAAGTCGACTATTGGTCAAAATTCAACTGTAATCCATTTAAATTTTACAGAACAATCAGTTTTCCCAGATTAATTCAAATAAAACGACATTTTAAAATAGTTTGCGAACACAATCTTTATGCAACTGTATAAACGTGAACAATAGTTTTTGTGTATTATGTTTACACAATATTTAAGCTTTCTCCACTTCATTTATTTAAATTACATATTTCATAAAAATATTAGCTTTCTGCTCTCCTACTCCGCAGAAACTTTTTTTTGATGACTCCGTAGCGCAGATGCCAAGGTATTGGCTTCGACGTCGAGGGTCGAGGGTTCGATTCCCACACGGGACAACTATATGTGATGCGACCACAGATATTTGTTTCGGATCTGGGTGTTTGTCCTCGTGCAATTTATGTTTGTAAAACGTCCTTACAACACAGGATAATGTTATCCTAAAGTGAGGACAATGTTTTTTAAAATGAAAAAAGAAAAGAAGAAGCTTTAACTGTACCAAATTTCATACTTCGTCCAGGTAATTTTCGTAAGAAAGAGTATAAATCTTTCGCCTTTAGTATTAATATATAGATTACATGAATTTATATGACAAATATTAAATGGCTTATCAAAATGTCACTCAATGTCGAACCTATTAATGTCGAGTTTTATTAATCACAATCGTCGGCAACTTTTCATAATTTTATTTCTACACACATTATATCATGTGATGTTGCGATAATCTTTCCGAAGAGTTCTTTAACTGTTTTTAAGAACAAGCGATAAAAACTTCTTGATAAATGAAATGAGGATCAAGTACGTTGCACTACACAAGTATCATTGAAGCAAGCGAGAGAATTGGCGTAACTGCTCCCAAAAATATGACCGTAATCGCCATTAAAGTCGTTTAAAGAGAGATTGAGAATTGCAAAAAATTATTACATTATACACGTTAAACCTTTAAAACCGCAGCCGAAATATTGCAGTCCGCCCGTTATGAGTCTACGGAGGCCCGTCGAGCGGACAAACTCCGCGTTTTTAGAGATAATAACAAAATATTAGTATTTAAGTCCGCGCTGCCACTGTATCCGTGTCGCGTTGATATTTTTACGTTAAAATTACTCGAGCAACCGTATTTATTACGCCGTAGCTGTTCAGTACAATGGAATAGTTTCATACAAAACTGGTGGTTTTAAACTTCCCTCGACTAAAATATCGTTTTTTAACGAACGATATCGATCGGATTACTAACAATGGTAAGTGACAATCTACCACCTAAAGGTCATATGTATGTCGACCTGAATAATTGAAGTATGCATTGATGTTCTCTATCACCTAAAGGTCATACGTAGACCTTAATAATTGAAGTGTTCATTCATGCTCTCACTATACAAACGCACGCCGCTGCATCAACGAATAAAAATTCTGTGATGCAAAGCGAATAGATTTTCATATTTAGATTTTTCCATACAAATTCTAACTTACAAATTTTTATTTCATAGTGTTTCATAGTTTAGTTTCATATTTCGATGACGACTGAGATGTTTTGATCCAATAACGGCGTGGTTTATGAAAATTTTCACCTAAATATTGACTAACATTTGATTTTACTGCGCAATTTTACGAAAACGATATCGTGTTTACGACCACGTCATCAACCGAGACTTGTAAGTTCGGTTTATGATTTTAACGTATGCTAATTATATGCAGTAACTTCCAATAAAAACGGTATTACCTGACATGGCGAAATCAAGTCGTAAATTGTAATGAGCGACCTTACATTTTTCCGTGGCAGTATTTTTTTACGATCGACATGAAGTAATCTATACGTGTGTGGTGTGTGGCTATTACGTCTCCTTACTGTAATCTTTTTGGTAACAAAATTTATTTACAAAAAAACTCGGTTAAATGAAACTATTTTATGGATTTAATAAAATCCTTGAACAAGAAATCAATAAATATACAAACAAACTTACTAATGAAGAGCAATACACAATAAATACTGTGTGCGCTAATTACGCAAAATTTATATACATATATATGAGATGTTTTGACGCGTAAACCGTTTTAACCTTTCAGGTTTTTATGTTAAATATTTTTAAATTTTTCAAAACTTAGCTAGGCACAAAGTCTTCAAATTATACAGCTTTATTACGAATTTAAGAGTTGGTAAATTTTAATTAACTTATGGTCTATATGTATAGGCGGCCTACCGAAAGCAGAATTCGCTATGCGATCCTGAACTTTGATGCCAAATTTTCTTAATTAGACTAAAATATAGCAGCGGTGGCTGCGAGTGTAAACGGTGACCGATGACAATAATAAGTTTAAATGAATAGGCTAAGAATCCAAAGATTGGATTCACAAGAACATTTTATAGAGTTACCCGGGGCTCCTTTCTTAGTTTAAAAGGCTGTGGTAACGGTAAGCCACAATCAACGTCACCGATAACTAATCTGTGAATTTGAAATTTCTTACGCCGGATGATGTTAGCAAATTGTGTTGGTACTTTTACCTTAAAAAGTATTACTCGACAATTTTATTTTGATAGGCGATGGTAGTATAGTAGCCACAAAATCAGCAGCCAGCTATGCCCTTCTCAAGACAATTGTCCATTCTGTAAACTTGTCTAAAGCTTTCAAGTTTAAATTTGGAACAGCGCTCGTCTCTGCAGCTGTCGTTGGGGCGTCAAGTGTAGGCAATTCGATCCGTTAACGACGGCGCGCGTACTCATGAAATTATTTCAGGTCAAAGTCCGTCGTTAAATATTTAGGACCTCTTTCAGTTTAATATCGCCTTTCAGTGCGTAATAACTCCACTTCTCGTGGGACGACAATAATTTATGCGCTACACTTTGTTATAGTTATTATGTATTTAATTAATTTATTATATTACTTTTCGTTTCACGTCACGCAGACAATAATAACACGGTTTAATTATGTTTTTTGAATTTTCTAAGTTATAACAGACGTTTATTAAAGCGAATCTTATCATGTGCCCTAACTTTTAGAGATTAAACACACAATGTAAAAATTGTTCAAGGACATAATATTATGTACGTTTTATAATTCTTGTGAAGTTTAGGTTTTAAACTTTTGTTCTATATTTGTATCTACCTCTACATTGCTTTAGAACATTATCGATTTCGGTCTATAATCCAATGGAACATTGAAACGTAATTTATTCCGCACTGTGAATCGATTATGTGCAATTCAGCTAGGAGCTAGGCTTAGGACTGCGGTTATGTATCGTCCGTGTGTACTATACATGCGGGTGCTGTCCATTAGGCTCTGCGGTCATGTCATTGCTGAGGGTTCTCTACAGTATGAGCCACTTCAATGTTGATATTGATACAGTTGCTTATATCCTCCGCACAACCTATATAGTAGCACTACAAGGTATAATTAGTTTGTTTGTTTGTATCTAAAGGATAATATTTTTTTTGTGAAAACATGACAAACTAGTATGCAGTTCTGATAGTGGGGTGGAAGAAAGGGTTGCAAATGTGTTGTACATTTAAAATGGTTTATTGAGAAGATCAGTTCAACTTCTACTAAAACTTATGTATGTTCAGTAAAATATTTACTTCCTGTTATTGGAAAAAAAAAGGATTGTGCTACGACGTTGTTTTATGTTTGCGAGTTTAAATTTCTGCGTTATTATGGGTTGTTTGCGAGAATCTGCAAACATACGTTGTTCACGGAGGTAGAAAATAAGAAAAGTTTTTCCGCTTTCCCAGCACCTTATAAACACAATATGTTTTGCATACATTGTTACGGGACTGGGTTTACGCGCGGTGGATTTGACGGTCGTTTCCCTTTTTATAGTACGTGTATTAAACTTTTCCTCGTCTAATATCAGATTTGTTTGATATTAAACTGCCAGTTTCATTATTGTAAACTAATTTATATAATTATTGTATCTTCCTTGTGTTTTTGACTTATTAATTATCTGATAGCAATATGTCCCAGGAAATATTTTAATATGTTTTATCGTACCTCTTTTGATATTGAAGAGCGCTGATATTTTATGTGAATATATTTCGAAACGGTGCTTAACTTATAAAGCGATTTTGTTTAGTGCTCCGTCCACTCAATTAATTGCAATAGACGCTAGTCGTGTACTCCTCTGGGCGTAATGCTATCCAGCCGGCTCTGACGCAACCGATGCACTTAGACCATTGCCCATTAAGTTCTGCGGTTGTGGTCTCACCCGTAGGCCCTCCTTCGATGCGACGTCGGAAACTGGGCAGTGTAGCGAATTTACTAACTAATGAAACTTACGTATAAATAAATAGGCTTCCGCGTAAACCTAACCGAAAGATATTTAACATTGAGTTGCATATATTCCTATAAAACTCTTAATTTTAAGGGCCGAGTCATCATGTGCTCATTGTTGAAGGAAAACATCGTGAGCAAACCTGTATATTTTCGAAATAATAACAAAAAAAATATTTCGAAGATATGTGAAGTCCGCCAATCCCCAGTGGGGCCGAGTGGTGGACCATGCCCTTATACCCTTTGTAAAGAGGGAGGCCTTTGCCCAGCAGTGGGATATGTACGGGCTTTACTTTTTATGCATATATTGAGTTACAACATATGATAATACATTCGCCCTGAAACGAATGCGACCTTATTTTTTTAGGTTATTTATATGGGTCCGAAATGGCAGTGTCGAACGGTAACGGTACGGTTTGACCTTCTAACAAGGGATCGGTTGGTCGAACATACTTAATTACCCTAACTTCTGTTTAGTTCGGGCTTAGGGTTAGGTTAGAATTAGTAGCTATGGGGCGAAATGAATATTGAAGCTCAAATATGCTATAAATTAAAAGTTGCATGATAATTCTTTTTTTTATGTGAAAAGTTGCCAAGCGAGCAGGCGGTTCATCTGATGTTAAGTGAATACCGCCGTCCATCGACATCTGCTATACCCGAGAGTGCGTTGACAACCTTATTAAATTTGTTCAATGTAGTGCGATCTTTTTCGACACGACTCGCACCAAAACCCCAACGTCTCAATGTATCACACTCTACGTAAGCGAGAGTGCATTGCTCGTGTCGCCTGTACGCGCGCATTCTGTTGATTAAATTCCTAACGTATTCCGGGACGTCGCGGCTCAGATCCCCCGGGTCCAGCGTTGCGGTTGGCGAGTTCTTCGCGTCGCGGATGCATTTTCTACTCGCAATACCCTAAAACAATTGTATGCGACCATTTTCGACGCTCGCAGAAGAATAACTTCGCAGAAATTGTTGAGTAAAGGGAAGCTTTGTTGCTTAAAGTTTTTAATATAAAAACCGAAATATAAATAAGAGCAACGTGTGATTCAATATCACGATAATTTCTGCACTAAGTATTTTTTTAAAGTGGCAAACGAGCTGGCGGTGCACCATGGCGGTGAACCATGGACATTTGCAACACCCGTAGGGTTTGCAGATGCGTTGCCACCTTTTAATAAAATGGGTCCCGGCTACCTCACTCACCAGACGAAACGCAGAAGTGTAATACTACTACTTCACGCTGGTCTTCAGTGAGGTCGTGGTACACCCGGACGGACCTGCCCATTCGTGCAACAGCAAACACTGTTGTGTGGTTCCACCACAATTACCTACTTATTATATTACAAGGTGTCTTATACATTAGTTTTTTATTTCTATCGAATATAAAATAAATTAAGTAACAGAGGAAAATCTATAGACGTACGAAACTTTAAATCGGTATTTTTAATGCAAATCGTTTCGTTAAACCGATAATGCCCGCGAGAAAATGTCCCAAGAAATTGGCGCTCCTCCAAATTGGTTCGAGCCGCGGACAGAACGTAAAGTGTAGAGGGCACTGCCAAACCCAGCTTCGACGACCCAACGAGTTGCAACTGTTTTAATTTCACGGGGACTAAGCAGATCGCAAAGAATTTTTGCGATTCAAATAGACTGGGTAAACTATGAGCTAGCAAGAGATGAAAGCTCTAGAAGACACACATTTTTTTAGGACACATTCTTTTTACACAGCGTTCTCTATTCCCAAAAAAATCTATACTTATTATACTAAAGCTGAATAGTTTGTCTGTTTGTATGAACGCGCTAATCTTTGGAACTACCGGATTAGTAGGATTTGAAAAAATCTTTTAGGCATTTGATAGCCCAATTCTTTTGGAACGGTCATAGAAGAAACGTTTCTCGTAGATGAAATAGCACGGAACAGCTAGTTTGAAATAAAATGACAGACAGAAATATTGTCCAACGGCAGTACAAATGATGATTTGAAATCCTGTTATATATTTGTTATACGAAAATTTAATTAAGAATGCTAATTTCAAATGTAGGCTAGCAGTAGTTAATATAATTTCGCTATAATTAATATAATTGAGTCCAAAGATGGGCAAGCTGCACAGGTTCTAAATATTTTCTTCGGGTGTTTTTAACAAAATTTGTCTCAAAAGCCACCGGAGTTAATGACCTCGGTGATTCATTCTAAGTTTTTGCTTTCAACTGTAAATATTGATATCATTAATCATATTAATCATATTCATGTCGTCTCTATAAAATGCAACTTCTCTACAGTCTGCTTATACATTCGCAAATTAATTTCCCGAAAGCCAGCACGGACCTAAGTATTTATTTCCCGCAATTTCCCCAAAGCAAGCGCACTTCGCATGTATTTATTCCGGGACTGCAATAATACCTTCACACTCGGGGGAATACCCGGAGTGTGGAAGCATTGTTGGAGCCTCCAAGAACTGAGGTGTTTTCAATTTTCTTCTGACCTATTTGTAGCTAAGTTTTTGTATGAATACGCGTGGCGCTATAAATTTAACGTTTTGGTTCTTGGGTACCAGAACCAAAGTATTAAAATTGGTACAAATTATTTCTCATAGAAGATGGACGCGAGGGAGAAGTATTTTTGATTATGACTTTCATTATCGTATGCGAGTCAACATCATTGTCAAACTTGTATAGAGTATATGGAAGTTTGAAGTTGCATTGTCAAACTTGTATAGACTATATGGAAGTTTGACAACGCAATTGAAACACACCTGTGTAGTCGATGTCCACAGGTGGAAGTGATTGTTGGACACCAGGTGAACCGCCTGCTCATTTGCCAACTCTGACAAGGAGAAACATAACAACAACAACAAACAAAACCAACAACTCTTTATATTAAAATTTGTAGAAAAAGTACGAAAAGATTGTCGCCGCTGTGGGAATGGAACCCACGTCTTCGACATTCGCGGCCTGACGCTTTAGTCACTAAACTAAACGGCTGATTGCCACACCGACAAACATCTTGACGTCTTTTATCTACATTGTTTTTAAGCATTTGAAGCAATGCTTGGCGCATCCATTGTTATGTATATCCTTTCCTGTTTCCAGCATACAAACTCTTCTCTTTATAACTTTTCTACATCGTATCGTATCAATCGCTTGCTGTTAAAATATGCTACGAAGACCATGAAACGACTAACAGACGCAGGTAAAAGTTCCGTTCTGTGACGTATGTGCCGAGGAGACGGCCCAACACGCACTGGAGGAGTGCTCAGCGTGGACGGAGCAGCGCCGAGAGCTGTACGCTATCGTGGGGCACGACCTCTCGCTATGGTTGACAGCGAGAGGGCGTGGGGTGGTGTCCTCGCATACTGCGAGGACGTTATCACCCGGAAGGAGGCCGCGGAGGGAGAAAGAGAGGCAACTGCCACCCTGGAAATTCGCCGCCGGAGACCAGGGCGCAGGAGGCTGGCCTACGCGCGCAACCTTCCCCCCTGATAGTGAGACCCTGAGCGGCAGACATGGGAGTGTCTGTCGCTCAATATGGGGCTCGTGACGTGTGCTGTGCCAATTGCACGGGCACAGCACTATGTAGTAGAGGAGGCCTAAACGGGCCATAGTCGCGCCGGGATCGCGGAAGATTGCGTTCACGTGTTCCCGTGTCCCCGGCTGATGCGACAGAGACAGGTGCAACGTGGGTTTTTTAGTGAGTAGCCGTTTTTAACGGAACTCCCACATAGACCTGACACTTCTCCCATCCAGTGGCAGGGGTATGTGGGAGTCCCCTTATAAATCCATAAAGGATTTTTCCCACGAAAAAAAAAAAGGTAAGAGTTCCGTTTACTTTTTGATGCACGGAACAAGAGGCTAACATTTTCTTATCCTGATTTATTTTCAAGGAAATAAAGAGGCAAATTAGAGACGGCTATTCTCGTAATGCAAGCTTTGCTTGCATGAAAAGATGGAATGAATGGCGACATTACTTCCGGTGAAATACAAAATAGACGTCAACTTTTTAACTTCCAAGGAGTCGCTACGACGGGCGCGCTTATCGCTAAACGTAAAATTTACGCTGCGTTGATCTTCCTTCCGATTCGCTTCACAATTCCTTCGCCAGCCCGCCGTCCCATTTCCGTTCCGAATCCCATAACACCACATTACGTAAGTGAACATTGCAACGACCAACTTCGAACTCATCCGGGAACATTTCCATACATCCATTGTCACGTCCACGTCCGACCGGAAAGCAAATATAAAATACCCTTACATAGAACTCGGAGAAATACCTATTTTCATACTATGCAAAAAATTTTTGTAAGTTTACTCAGTTCCTAAAGCCATTGTTCAAAGTTCAGTGGACTCATTGTTGTACAGTCAGCAACATGGTTCATGAAAATGAGCAAATAAGTGACAGCATTTTGTATCATATTTTTAGCCCATAAATTATATATTTCTATGATGTTGCCGTTCTAAACATTCAATATAGCGAATGCAACTTTTTTTAAATTAACCATCGAGTTTATTCGCACTAAATATCAGATACATAAATTGTATATTCGTCCCTAGTCTTATGTTTTTTGTAGTATATCAATATACTCTCTTTATGGGTGCCGAAGTTGTCCTGATATTAAGCGGTCATTTCCAACGTTAATGACACCGCTTGGCATTGCTTAGTGATACATTAAGGAGACCGAAGATTTCAAACTAGAAAAAAAAACATTAGTTACTATTCATAGTTTGTTAAAACATAAACCTTCTTCACAATATAAATAGGGCAGATCGGCACTAAATTCGGGCATGTAGATATGAGTTTTATGACATGGTAAAAATAGATGATGTCTGGGCCTGAGCATTACCTAACAGCTTGAAGTAGCACATACCTATAAAAAACTGAATAAATAAAACGTAACGTCGCGACGCCTAACTCAAATATGCGCTACAGCGTGCAAATAGATCCATGGGTCGTTGTCGTGCCGCGCTGAATGGGGATCGTTTCTAAATATATATGTTTGGTAGGGCGCTCTCTGTCCAGATGGTATAAACAAGGTTACGACCCGCCGACGTAGAAAAAGATTCCTTGGCCGAGTATCGGTCTACATAAAGCGAGCTGCCAACAAATTCTTCGTAATTTCACTTTACTTGAGCCGCGATAACTCAGTATCTGATGTACTCGAGCAACTTGAGTTTGTTCCCCGGTGCCTGTACCCATGAAATTGTTAATATTAAGTGCTGACTTATCACGTGCTCAGCGGCGAACGAAACCATCGTGAAGGTACCTGCGTGTTTTCGAATTAATAACAAAAAAGACATTTCTAAGATATGTGAAGTCCGCCAATCCGCAGTGGGGCCGCGTGATGGACTGTACCCTAATACCCTTTGTCCTGCAGTAGGGTATGTATAAGCGTTACTTTACTACTCACCTGTGAAAATACTGTCCTTTACTTGAGTGCCATCCAAAACTAGTGCCGGTCGTAGATTCAATTGGTGGTTGCCTAAAAGCCTATTCACTGGTGCCCCAAGACAATTGATTTGAAGATTGATTTTAAGATTGATTGTACGATATCACAGGCGATGTGCGGGCAGAATTAATTCCTTTGCTGTTCACATAAACTCTTCGTGTTGTAAACTTTTAGTATGAATAACAGAAAATTTTCTGTTCTGATACTATTAATTTAATATTTTATCAAGTAAAAATTAAATTGCTTGAGTAAAACTTTCCATTAATACTTTTTTTTTAATTAATAAAGTTCACTGGTCGTACCATGCACTGTTAAATAATTCATTTTGCTCCCTTTATTTTCTTGCCCTAAAATAGCCACCAAATGTTTATTCACGATTACTGAAAAACAAACATAAACGCCGAAAATTTTAGGAAAAAAAAAATACACGGAACAAAGCTCAACTAACTCTTTGAAGATTACGTGGATTTATAGAAGTATAATGTAAATAATTGAGTAACGACCTATGCACAACGCGATCGCTGCAGTTATGTTAATGAGCGATCCGACAGGATTATTATTGAACTCAATTTGTGAATATATTACTGATGCCGTTCATGAATATATTTGCATGCTTATGAACATCATAGGGTGTTTTACATGAGCTGCGAATAATACGTGCTTTAGAGAAAAAACTTATTCATTTTATTTATTTTTACTAGTTTGCTTACCCCGGCTTTGTTTGGCTTGAGTTGTTAGACAGTTGGCAACTGAACTTGGGTACCTGAGTACCATCGCTCATCGACAAGCACAACATCAGACATATCTAGCAAACGCATTGTCAAATATCGAAAAAATATTATCAATATTTGTAGAAAAATGGACGAAAAGTTTTTCGCTGCTGCGAGATTATGAACCTGCGTTCTCAGGGATACGCGCCTGATGCTATAGCCACTGAGCATAACGGCTTATCTTTACTCCGACGAAGATCCCACGGTGGTAGGGCCACGCAGTAGCCGCGGCTGTTTCACGAATGGGCTCGTCCGGGTAAGTACCACGCCGGGTAAAGTCCGGGTAACCTCACCCGCCGGCTCGCTTGGCTACTTTTAACATTAAAAAAAATCTCATCGCCAATAAATATTTCTATTGCATTTTAAGCACTGTTCGGCGCTTTTTTAACAAATTTTATGCAGAAAATAGCACTATAAAAATTATTGTCATTAGAGTATTGTTAAGGTTTATGGTACTGCTATTTGTGCAGCAGCAACGCCATATTTGAATAAAGCGTTGCTACTTCGGAACTGGTGGGTAGCAATATTGTACATATACAGGGAGGCTTTTCTAAGTGTATCCATTTTTTTATTAAATTCTAGGCATAAATAATGATACATAAAAAATTATAAATATTTTAAATCACTAGTTAATATTTTAAATTACATTCATTTAAACTTATCTCAAAAAGTGCGAGATTTATATACAACTTATTTATTTTACTCGCGATCATTCATTGCTAACACTCACACGTGTGCGCGAACAGTAAAATTTAGGTATTTATGTATGAATACCGCGTTGCCTACAAGTTCTGTTTTTTTTTGGGAATAGAATGGTATTTTTTTTGAAAAAAAAAAAAGTTGTTTTTATTTCAATAAACGATTATACTACCGAGTCTGAACCTCCTGTGTAAATTTGGGCACCTTTAACAAACCCCTCCTGTATATGTCAAAGAAACCGTCAAACAAGTCCATTTTCCAACTTTGTATTGCGACTTCAAACAAACGACAACAGTCTGCTCCTCATTAGAAGTTTCCTACAGAAGATGTACTTGAACCATACTAACTTCTCCGCAATATATCGAGACCGATCTCTGTATGGTAATAATTTTATTTAAAATATCATCGCACTCGAATTAAGCCTGTTTCTTCTCCGTTAGAGGAACCTCATTACGAAACGGTGGTAGATTAAAAAAAGTGAATCCGCATAGATGAAATGTATGTTTCTTGTGTCGATGAATAAATGATTTTGATTTTAGCTTATTCTAAGAATATATACAATATATTGAAATCTCGGGGTGATGTTGATTCGCCAAATATTCATAATAAACAGTATGACCAAAAAGTATACTATCGCTACCTCAAGTGTAAGTTTTTATTGTTAACAAATTTTCCTCTTGATGTAAAATGTTAAATTCCAACAACTTCTCATTTTGATTTCACGGACTTGTTGTTAATAGAAAAAAAAGCTGCTGCCCGCAACTACGTCTGCGTAGAATAGGCGTAACATTCAGACAGAAAGACAGATATACATAAAAATATGTACCTATATATAAATTATAGCGTATGTTTTATTCTGATGTATAAGCTATATTATTCTAGTTTCATTAAAATCCATTCAGTAGTATTTGCGTGAGAAAGTAACAAACATCCATCCATACATACAAACTTTCGCGTTTATAATATTAGTAAGAATTACTATTACTACTATTTAAATTACATAACTAATTGTGTCTCTCTACTTAATATACATTAGGTGGAAAAACAAATCTACAAAGCGCGATAACAAAGCGTATCGTTTATCAACTACGCCAAACATCAGTACTATGAAATATTAACCGAGAACGGTTTAGAAATTGAATGGGTATTATTATGCGTTCTATATGTAACGATGTATAGTGTCCGCCATTTTAATACATGCGCCTTCTTTATACGCCATTCAGAGTTTCCGTTTAAAAATACAATGTAAATTTGTGACATACTTTTCCGACGCCCAGCTTCTAACTGCTTAGGACTATTTCCATATCCATTTAGCGAACTGAAAACTTGGCTAAAAGTTGCCTGAAGCCATCCATATTTAATACGGAAATTCGGCTCTCTCAGCCGTTGTTATCAACGGTACTCTAATCTTGTTCCAATCTCGACATTTTGGTGAGATTGGAATCAGCTTATGCGAAGAAAGTAGTGGTAGTGCTGTTTACTTTTAATCAATTTCTTCTCATTCGCTCTATCACCTTACAATCAGCTTGTTATTAATTGATTTATATTATTGTGAAGAGTAAAGTTCAGAAATAAAAGGGGATTGGTTTTTAAAGAACTAAATATGAATCTATTGGATATTGGACTTACATTTAATGTTTTGGCGAATCCTAAAAGTGAACTACGAAACGTATTTGTTTGATGATTGTATTGTACGAACTTATTGTATTGATTGGCTTCGGCATCAGGGGTCGTGGGTTCGATTCCCACACGAGACAACTATTTGTGTGGCCCACAGATAGTTGTTTCGCATCTGGGTTTTTGTCCGCGTGAAATTTATGTTTGTGAAACGTCCTTACAACACAGGATAATGTTATCTTAAAATAACATTGCCCATGTTTAAAAAAACATTTGCGGCCATATTCAAGTTACCAAAAAGTAATTATTTTTATATATGTGAACATCTATCACTATAAGATTAAGGATTATTAGTAAAATGTTGTGACTTGTATAAGCCACGATGAGGTTGGCGAATCTGTGTAGATAAAATAAAAGATAATAAAAAAAACGTATAGTTAAACTTATTAGCTAAGAGAGGCTAACTGAAAAATAAGTTGAACTCTCTGAAAATAGTACCATCTGTTCGTTGAGTCTTCTGGCAGTTCACGTTATGTTAAGATGGATATGGATATTTATAAAACTCGTACCATTACATTAGTGTTGAGAGTCACCTCCGTCATCAGACTAAATGCATAAGTCATAGCTCTTCTACTTCACGCCTTAAAATCGTTTGCCACGAAAGCTATGTGGAATGTATTGTTTTATATTTTTTAGAACTTCAAACGTGGCTGAATAGCTCAATAGCGTGTCGCATCCCCAACGTATTATAAACAATTAGAGCCCGTATTTTAGCCTACATTTTCCTGAATTGCGGCCTATATTTTATTGAAAATGTACCTACTTCTACATCACAATTAGAGCACGTGGTTCGGTGAGCCGTACATACAAACAGTCCATTGAACGGGCGCTTTTGAAATATTTTTTTTAATTAAATCGGAATGCGAATACCTAGATTCCATTTTGATTGATAAAACTAACGAAACGTATTAATTAAAAGTTCACTCCCTTGACGCTGTTGGAGCGAATTATTTTATTAAAAATATTCATTCCGCTCATGTTTTGAGAAACATAATAAGACTATTTTATTTTTGATTTTCCTCGGCAGTAATTGTTCTTCGAATTGAAACGTCGGAACGGTGACTGATATTCGTACTCGTATTATACATAATCTAAAATTGTAACAATGTACAAATATGATACAACAACAAGATTAGTCCCTCTTGATTCATTTAAAATCATGTGTTCTTGCAAACAGTTTTACCATGACCCGTTTTCAGCCTGTAGCCGATCTGCTCGGCATGTTTTCGCCTAAGAGCTACGCAGACAACTTGTGCTCATAACTTTTGCAAAGAAATCAGCCAGAATTATTACGCCCGACACGAAAACCAATAACAGGCGCATATGTTGCCTTAGACCGGTGTTCAAATACCATACACTTTTTAACTTAAAATGTATTTGTAATATTGCTCATAATTACCTACGTACGACAAATAAATATTCCGACAAAAATAGTTGCGCATTCGTGCATCTTAAACGTTATTTATTGTGCTAACAAATCATATTAAGTTTATAACAAATCATATATATTAGAGTTAGGCAATTGTTATTTATACTTGAGAATCAACTTCTAAATGCTATTAACGAATCTCCTAACACGCTCCACGCCAGTTACGAAAAGTCCATCTATATTGATTAGGCCAATAAATTAGTATTAGCGATTAGATACGGTCTGCTCGTGAACTTAATTTGTATCATCAGTCCCTATTCGAAAGCTTCGACAAGGGAATTACTATCGCCCACACACGGTTTTCTAATAAAACATGAAAAGCAATTACACTGACATGTAATAGTTTCCGACTGTCTCTATGTTGGTTCCAACGTAAACCAGTGACCAGAAAATTACAAAAATATGATATCCGAATTCATTATTTGTTCATTATTTATGCACGCAAAATATGTAAAGAGGCGGGCTTAATACCAGTCAAACGGTTTGGTACATATTGTGTGTATATAAAGAATAAATAAATAATGAATTAAAACAATGTAATTTCGTTATTTTCTAGTCACTGATCTACTATTTCATCATTACTACATCAGTATTACTTTTTACAATTGATTATAAAAATTAAAAAAAGAGAGATCATCGAAAAATCAAATTTAAAGGGAATATTACATAGAATACTATACTGGACATATAACAAAATAATAATATTAAATGTTGCAATATGAAATAATACTGATATAATAATATTGTAAATATTATTGTATTAAATATTATTGTGATAAAATAATATTGTATTAGTATGTATATGTGTATTAATTATAATTATGTATTATGTATTAAGAATTATTCAATTACTTATTTTAGTCTGTAAGTTAATTTTCATTGTACACACCTACCTATTTTTCTTTGATTATTTATTTATTTTTAATTATTACGAAAGGTTTGCTGGCAGAGAACTCTGTTTAGGGTTAAGCTTGCCTTTGTACAGTCTTTTTTGTAATCCTTTATTTGTAACTGTATTTTTTTGTGTACAATAAATAATAAGGAAGAATGAAGAATACGAATAATACTTAATTTTGCGATATGAACATTATAGTGAAGTCAGCACTTAAAAGTAACAATTTCATTGGTACCGGCACCGGGAATTGAGCTCAGGTGCCCCAGTATAGTGAAGTAAAAGCGAGCGAAATTCTTAAATGATT